GAAGCGGTTCGCTCCCAGCTGATAGTTCTGCAAAGCGACCAAGACCTGGCTGTTCCGGCAGGCCTGGGGCTGTTGAATTATCCAGCCCCATTCTAAGTTATGAATGTTGTTGAATTTTTTAAATTGTTGTTTTTTATTTCTTGTATTCCCCTTCCCTTCTTATTTGTAAGCCGCCCTGAGTCTTCCAAGAATGGGCGGCATACAAGCTAAATAAATTCAATTCAATTCAATTCAATTTTAACAATGCCACTAAAACTAGGCTTAGTGTTAAAAATGACGGAGTCTTTAAAAATGGCATGATCATGGTCTGATGAACAGTTGAAAAGGGATCTTGTAATTAATGTTTTCACTTAGAATAAGAGATGGACAACCTTTTGGTGTCCATAACACCATTTAACTTTTCTTTTTGAGAAGGTGGTAGCTCCAGAGGGATCAACCTGGAGCTACATTATATATGTGGGAAAGGGCTGGGATGTCTATTTTAATCTTGGTGAGATTCCATTATAGTATTCATGTGTTTCCCTGCTCAAAATGTCACAAATTATTTTGATTGCTGACGGATAAGTAGTTCCTCCACCAAATGGTGGTTGAGAAGCCTCAGAATTGGTTTGGGGGCTGAGAGTGGCAATGGGCACTGGATCTCCCCACTTGTCAGTTAGCCTCCCTCCCTCTGTATTCTAAGTTAGAGTAAGATGTTTCTATTCCTTGATGTATATTTCTTGCATTCTTTTGTTATGTTTGCATTGTGATTTTTCTGTGAAATAATGCTCAGGGCAGATCATCACACTTATGACCATGTAATAATAATAGAATGATCTATAATGAAACATGAAATAGCTGCATCCCAAAAAGTCAATCTGGGCAAAGGCATTGTCTAAATAATAAAGTTTTCTGTGTAAAAGAAGGCTGATGAAGATTAGGCTAGCCAAAGCCCATCTTAGGAGTTTGGAAACTATATAGGTAGTTCTCGGTTTACAACATTTCATTTAATGACCGTTCAAAGTTACAATGCCTCTGAAAAAGTGACTTATGACTGTTTTTCACACTTACGACCGTTGTAGCATCCACATGGTCACATGACTTACATTTCGGATGCGTGACAACTGACTCACATTTATGACGATTGCAGTGTTTCAGAGTCATGTGATCACCTTTGGTGACCTTCTGACAAGCAAAGTCAATGAGGAAACCGGATTCACTTAACAATTGTGTTACTAATTTAAGAACTGCAATGATTCACTTAACAAAGGTGGCAAGAAAAGTCGTAAAATGGGGCAAAACTCACTTAATAAATTTCTCACTTAGAATCAGAAACTTTGGGCTCAGTTGTGGTCATAACCTGAGGACTACCTGTATTAGAAAGCAATCACTCTGATTCTCACTAAAAGCCTGAAAAGGCCCACTTGGGGCCCTGGTGCAGGTAGAGAAGGTGCATTTTCCCATAACTGGGTCCTGAGGGATTCGTGTCTACACCAAGTCAATCTGTTGAAACAGGGGAAATGTTTTTTGTGTTTGATTGGTGCCAATCTAGACTACAGCTGAAGTAGGAAATGTCACACTACACCATTGCTTTATTGGGGCAACACTTGACATTTTAGCAAACGAAGTGTGGCAGGCAGAATAAAACTGCTTTTGAAATATTGAACCAAATCTGAACAGAACCTTCTGATGATCAGGAAACATGGCTTCAGGAGAACCAATTGCAGAAAAGCTTTCAGGATTTGTGCATTGTTATTGTTGTTCGTCTTCCTGGGTGAGATTGGTATCTTTTGTTGTTGTTTTGGTAAAAATAGTATCGCTTTTTGTTTTTGTTTTTTTCCAGAGTGTAATGAACAAGCTGCACACCGTCAGCGTGCCCTATGCAGTGATGAAAACCTGCCCGCTTTCTTGGGCACAGAGGGTTCACACTCACAAAGGTAGTGTACATATTGAATTGCATGATGGATTGATCTCTAGTATTTTTAGCACCTGCAAAAATGAATGGGGCAGGTGATATTTAAGAACTCTCAAGAGAATTCTAATCCTGTTCCAGTTCTCTTATAGGCAGATGTTGTGGGATGGGGACGGGATGGGACAATAGGTTTGAGCTATGAAGTTAAAAGCATATTACCAGGATACATGATCCATCTGCACCACTGCTTTGGTTATCCCAGGTTGCTTACTTTTTTCACCGAATAGTCCTAGATCCATTTGGTAAACACATTTCCTCTTGGAACCAAGTCTGCCATGGTTCTAAAAAAAGTATCCATACATTAAATCTTTTCATTTGTTTTTCAGATTTGGAGAACATCCTTGCGGTTGGTTCTCATAAATATACCTGTGTGTGTATTGATTTCTACTTTCTTTTCTCCCCTGCAGCTAAAGTAGCTTTGGTGAAATGTCGAGATTTGCACTGGGCCATGATGGCTCACCGAGACCAAAGAGATGTCAGCTTAAATTCCCTACGGATGCTGATTGTAACTGATGGTGCTAATCCCTGTGAGTAGGCCTTGATAGTATTGCCTGCTTGTTAAACAGATTTTCTCCCTGAATTTTTCCAATGACTGTATGAGTGAGAGGATGAGTGAAAGGGTTGGGCATTCACCAAAGAACAGACTGTATTATCCTTGAAAATGGGCATTCATTTTTCATTCTCCATTCCTTTCAAACTACAAAAATAGAAAGGCAAATGTGTGTTAAACAGCTGTTTGCTTCCTTCCTGCCCCAGTCCTGATATACAGGCTAATGTTTGTCATGCATTTTATGAATGTATGACAAACATTTAAATAATGTACACTTGCATTGAACACTGAGATGCTGAATCTAAACTGATAGTCCTTCAGTCTTTGATGAACAGTGCAAGGATTTGGACTTACACTGTTCATCAAAGACTGAGGAACTACCAGATTTGATTCAGTTCTCAGCATTTGATGAGGTCCCTCCTCCGATTCTGAATTTTTTTATTTCATGAAGGATTTCTAACCTACTTTTCCTGAGTGTTCAGGGCATATATATCACTGAAGCCAACATCTAGAACCGGGATGGCGAACGTACGGCATGCATGCCACAGGTGGCACATGGAGCCATTTGTCAGGGCATGTGAGGTGTTGCCCTGTCAGCATGCGCGCTGGCCAGCTGAGTTCAGCCTTTTTTAAAGCCATATTTCGCCCTCCCCAGGCTCCTATAAAGCCTCTGGAGCCTGGGGAGGGCGAAAAAAGCATGGAAAAATGGAGGGAGCTCCTCTCATGCGTGCATGCGCACTGGGGGGGTCGCATGTTGCATTAGGGGTGCGGCACGCCGCGCACGACCCCTCTGTGCTCCCCCCCCATGGCATGCCAGCCAAAAAAAGGTTCGCCATCGCTGATCTAGAGCATTATATTTTATCTTAATATTTTTATATACGAGTAATAAGCAGATGAGGTTGCTTTGTATACAAAGCTCACTTTTGCTAGAAATCGGGAGAGTGAAATGGCAGCCATCACTGTCCCTGAAGCAAGTTTTACATTTCCTTGTCTTAAGAAGAGTTAAATGGTGTCATGCTGAATAGCATCAGCACAGTGGTAAAATAAATGATGGAGAGATAAAAGCATTTCTTAGCCTCAGATTGTGAATAGCTGGCATTCTACTTCCAATCCTCAGTGAAACAATCAAACTTGTGCGGAATTCATATAAAAATTGTATCATTAAAGGGGAAAGGTGGAAATATTCCTGTAAAAGGAATTTTAAGAACCAAAGTAGCTTTAATGGGCCACCTAAGGGAAGGAAGCAGGAGGGCCAGCCTAACAGTGTTTGAATTGCACATGAGAAATGATCCAAAGGTCTTTGAAAGAAATGAACAACAGATTTTCATGGATTCCTGCTGCTCAGTGGGCTTAATGAATTGTCTGCCCAGATGGTGCTAGGAAGAAATGAGATTTGAATGCAGTTATGATTTCTGGATCAAGTGGAGGCAGGGAGACTGCAACAGGGAAATGTGTGTGTCGCTCTTTTCTGGACAGGACACAATCTCTTCTTTGAAATTGTATTTTATGATTCAGAAAGAACCTGCAAAAGCTTCTAGCTGTGCAAGCCATTATTCAGAATTGCATTAGATCATTTGGGGTTAAAATTAGTTCTGGTAATTTCTTTTTGGATGCTGGGGGAAAAAATAAACAGGTGGAAGGTGATGCATAATCCAGCCTTGCAGTTTTATTTCTGCAAGAGTGTATTAAAGCTTTGTGCCTGGTTGATCTACGGAGAATCCCTCTGCAAATGATGATGTAAGATGCTCAAAGTTCATGTCTACATTACAGCATTGTAATTAAATGAAGCAGTTTAATTTTAGAAAGAGGTACTCTATTACAGCAATTACACATATGTGCAGTGTATTAAATCTTTTAGAAAACAAATTACATTTGGGGGTCTTATAAATAGCAGTCATCATGGCTTTTAAAGAAGCCTTTGTGTTTCTGTTATCAAGCCCCGATTCACTATTTCAAATAAAAATGTAATTGCTTTCCAGGGTCTGTGTCTTCGTGTGATGCTTTCCTGAGTCTCTTCCAGAACTACGGGCTTAAACCAGAGGCAATATGTCCCTGTGCTACATCTCCTGAAGCAATGACAGTGGCTATCCGGAGGTAAAATTGGATCTCCCTTTTCCAGGATATTTCCATTATCTGCTAAAGAGACACTATTCATTTCCATTTCATGTACTGTATCATTTCTTATCTGGCATTTCAGAAGCTAAAATTAGATTCATTTCTTGAACAGCTGCTTCACTATTAAATACAGTAACTGTGGTCTTCTCTTCGTATGACAAATAGTTCTAACACGTTTATGATCGATACATCCATATTGAACATTGAGTGGAGAGACAAATAAAAATGTTCTGATGGAGAACAAAGGGCAATGAATGAAAAATGTTTTTGCAATGAATGTATGATATTGCAGAACTATAAAAACATCTATAATGTGTTCTGTCTTGGTATTTTTATTTTACACTTATATCATGCAAAATATATCAAGGTTTTTTTGAGGGGAGGGATTCCAGTTATCCATATCCTGTGCAAATCTGTTGCATACTGTTATTTAATTTAAAGATTGTAATGGATATTTTTGAGGGATACAGTGACTCAATGGCTAAGCCGCTGAGCTTGTAGATCAGAAAGGTCAGTGGTTCGAATCCCTAGCACCACGTAATGAAGTGAACTCCTGTTACTTGTCCCAACTTCTGCCAACCTAGCAGTTTGAAAGCATGTAAAAATGCAAGTAGAAAAATAGGGCCACCTTGGTGGGAAGGTAACAGTGTTTCATGCGCCTTTGGCATTTAGTCATGCCGGCCACATGACCACAGAGATATCTTCGGATAGCACTGGCTCTTCAGCTTTGAAACAGAGATGAGCACCGCCCCTTAGAGCCGGAAACAACTAGCATGCATGTGCAGGGCAGCCTTTACCTTTTAAATGGATATTTGTCACCTTACATTTTGCTCATATAATTACTTTTCTCACAGTCTAGCAAGTGATTACAATTTTTTCTACTGTTACCTGAGAGCAAATATTCAGTAGAACTGTGTTTCCTAAATGAATTTATGCTCAGGAGGCTCCTTAGCCATTATTCTGTGGGATTTACTGTGTCAGTTCCTTTCCAAATACTTGGTTCTGATGGGAATTGTAACACTCAGATGAGTAGAAAAACGTGGCTATCTGAAAATAATTTCAAAATGATGGAATCCAGCAGTGTCTTCCTGCCTATTACCTTATGGCATAGGGATAAGAATAAGTGAGATAAGTTCAACTTTTTTCCTGTAGGAAACCAGGCGCAGAATTAGTTCCTTTTTTGCAGATTTTGTAAATTAATGGGAGTTGGAAACTCAGTCCAGCCTATGGCGAAACACCCAGTGATTTACTCATAGATTCTGATTCATCTTCGCACAACTTTGTGGTCATAATGACATCTGCCTTTCTTTCCAGACCTGGTGTTCCTGGGGCACCTTTGCCTGGAAGAGCTATCTTATCAATGAATGGTCTGAGCTATGGCGTCATTCGTGTAAATACAGAAGATAAGAATTCTGCTCTCACCATACAGGATGTTGGTCATGTTATGCCAGGTGGTAAGTGTCCTTGGAGAGGAACGATAAGTTACACAGGCTCTCTGATTGCTTCCTTCAAGGTCCTGCTGAGATGCAAGCTCCATTTGGATCCTCTTGCCCCCTGAATTGTTTGCACTCCACAGTGTTTCCTTTTAAGAATTGCAATTGAATTTTAAAAAATCGGCACCTAAGCTTGCTTTATTTCGTTTTCCCTTCTTCTTTTTGCGTCTGTGCATCCATGGGCACAGGCTGTTTTATGGAATATAATCTTTAGATTGTAGATTTGAGCGCTCCCTTCTTTCTATTAATACTGTGTGTGCCGTTTTAAGAGCCTCTTTGGCTGAAGAGTAAAGGAAATGTGTGCTTAGATTAAATAAATAATAGGAGTAAAGCATCCCTAATGCAAACCACATAGCTTACTTTGCTACTGCTGCAGCCCCAGCTGTTGGGTATAATCCTTTGCTGTTGCACTCTTGAGCCTCTGCATGCTGACAACAGATCTCTTCATTTACTTGGATATTCAAGTCTTTTGAGGCTTATTTAATTCACCGAGGAAGAAAATGGGACATTGTGTTTGCCTAATCTTTTTTCTGCTTAGGGTTCACATTACCTAGCTTTTAGGGTCCTATTGGGTCTTCCCGCATGCTTGCAACTAATTCTCCATCTCTGCCCCTCCCTCCTATCCTGTGTGCAGAAATCTGAAAATATGCAGAGTAAGTGAAATAGCTTTTGCATGAACAGAATTCCAGAAGCAGGCTTTTTCAGGAGGGGAGTAAAATGTCCAAGTGCTTTGTTTGACTCAAATTTTTTAAACAGCAAATACAACTGTGGGCACTAACATTGATTTAAATATGCTGTTTGCTTTCTATATAATAGGCAACCATATTGTGCACTCAATCCTTAGAATGCATTCAGCTGCCATTGTATTTCATTTCCTGTCTTCTTAAATATCTTCCGTATTTTCAGCTAAATTCCTGTCCTTGTGTCAGGTGAGGACTTTCATAATAGCATGTGATTTGTTCTAGGAATGATGTGTATCGTGAAGCCGGATGGCTCCCCTCAGCTTTGCAAGACAGATGAGATTGGGGAAATCTGTGTTAGCGCCAGAACAGGAGGGATGATGTATTACGGGCTCAGTGGAGTAACGAAGAACACATTTGAGGTATAGCAATCAAATTGCATTTTCTGTTTTGATTTGGACTATATCAGGTTTTGTTCAGTTAGCTGTTTGGAACAGGTCCGTTGTATTGCTAATTTGCAGTGTTGAAAGTAAATGTTGTTGAAAGTGAATGTTTTAAGAGCTGCAGTGGCTCAGTGGTTAGAATGCAGTACTGCAGGCTACTTCTGCTGACTGCCAACTGCCTATATTTTGGTAGATCAAATTTCACCAGGCTCATGGTTAACTCAACCTTCCATCCTTCTGAGATCAGCAAAACGAAGATCCAGATTGTTGGGGGCAATATGCTGACTCTCTAAACTGCTGTAAAGCACTGTGAAGCGGTATATAAGTTTAAGTGCTATTGCTATTTTCTGAAGCTTTCTTTGAGCTGAGATTTCAAGTGTGTTATCTGTGCTCTCAATAGCTAAATTATACCAGCTTAATTTTCACTATTTAAGCAATAACTGGGGAGGCAAAGGGCTTTCAGGTTTCATATTAAGCAATAGCACTTAGACTTATCAGCAAGTCCACTGATTTGTTTATAGTTAAAGTTAAAAATATTTTTA